CTCGGTTGTAGATGCTCTTAGCTCATATGTACGGGGCGATCCGGTTGGATGGCTAGGTGGACAGTGGTATTCTCAGCCCACCAGGGTTCAAGTCCCGGTGCTCGCATTTATCCTGTATTTATTTCAGGATTTCTGGCGATGCGCGTTCAGTGGGACGAGACGTTCCGTCAACTATGAGGCGCCTATGTGGACTTCGTAAAATCTCAAGATGATATGCCTGCTCAATTTCTTGGAGGTGCTCATAGGGGTATGATATGCCGACTCAGTCTCTTAAAGGTGCTCATAGAGGCATAATGTGCATGTGTAAGTTCATAGAGGTGAGTTTATGCGTGTATATATGAGCGCTTTGTGTTGTGTTAAAAGAACAAAGCTCATATGTACGGGCGTGTACAAGTACTCTGGCCAGGAGGAATTGATCTGGGACTGTGAAGCATCCTCGGCCGGGCCTTCCTTTGGCGGCCACACGCCCAGTCGGGTCGGCCGCCAGGGGCGCTGGCTTTGCTGTTACATACCACATACTCCCTCCGTCTAAGTGTGTGCATGCTTTTAATGGCTTGAGACTATCAAACATGACATGCAGTGGTTAGTTCATTGCATGCAATACTATTAATTAGCAAATAAACATTAATGTCTCTCGTTTTCCCCTCCTTGGTCACGGTGCACAGCCTAAGATGACTTACTCACCTAGACGGAGGGAGTACTACATATGTGGCAAAATGTTTTCTTGAGGTGTCATTTAACACCATAAAAACACAAAATGAACGAAAGTGTAATAAAGGGTATAAAATTTAGACCGATATTAGATAAGAAAGAAAATATTTTCCAGTGTTAAATAGGGAAGCGAAATTTAAGATAGTGTTAAATAAGGAATTCTTTCATGTTACATACAATCATTATCATTTAACAGCAGGTTTGCTTGACAGGTTCAGTTGAAGGCATGCGCTGGGACGGAGGGGACAGCACTGACATGCAGAGGGACGACTTGGAGCACTTGACTTGGGCTAGATTAGACTAGAAGAATGGCAGTGCAGAGCTGTAGATGGCAGTGATTAGAGCATGGTTATATCGAACGGAGAGCATGGTTAGATTAGAATCGTCATTAGATAAATGTCAGTGCCATCGATCTAGCCGTTGCCCTGTTGGCTGTTCAAGCATCGCTCGACTTCCGAGAGCGCTGCAATTTGGCAATTTGGCAAAGGGTACGTGTCCGTATACTGAGAGACGACTTTGACCTGCAATCACTCGTATAAGAAACGCCATACGTTGGGAAATGTCTAGAGAGAGAGAGAGAGACACAAGGCTAATACCAAGCTAGTTTGGTATCGATAATGAGGCGATCTTCTTCGTCGTCCTGGCTCGCAAGCGCCGTGGTCCTCCTGCCTATTATCGCATGGTGCTTCCTGCTGCCATGCTGCGCCGCCAGGCCCAAAGGTAACCATCGGCGCACCCTGTTATTTTTTGTATTTGGAGCAGATGTTCATGCTGGCGCTAGTTGTGATGTGATTTGCATCCCGGCCCATGGTGGTGTGCAGGCTTTAATTTTCCAACCTGGTGGCGTGGACGAGGAATACAGCCGCAATCACCTATGCCCGGGAAATCGAGGGGACCGAACCATGACTACGCTCCGCTGCCACAACTTGCGTAGCCCGGGCCGCCGAAGCAACATTACTGCCCGGGGTGTGCCCATGACTACGCTGCACCGCCCTCGGTGGGTACGGCACTTGAGTCGCCCGGGCTGCCGAAGCAACATCACTGCCTGGAATGTGACCATGCCTACGGTCTGCCTCCGGCAGGTACGCCACTTGCGGCGCCCGGGCCACCGAAGCAACAGAACTGCCCGGGGTGTGCACATGACTACGCTCTGCCGCACACGGCGGGTACGGCACTTCCGGTACTCCTTTCGTCTAGGTGTGTAAGTCATCTTACGAAAATCAAATAATCTTAAAATACTTAGGCGCGGTGCATTAAATTCTACATCGTTTCTTGTTTCTTGACATATCAACCAATAGGAGATGTGGGTGTGCATGTTTTTAATGACTTGAGACTACCAAACACGACATGCAGTGGTTAGTTCATTGCATGCAATGCTATTAATTAGCAAATGAACATTAAGTTCTCTCGTTTTTCCCTTCTCCTTGATCACGGTGCACAATCTAAGATGACTTACTCACCTAGACGGAGGGAGTACCATAAGAACCTACCCGACACAAACCTTCACCGGGGGCTGCAACAATGGTAGAAAAGGAGATATTGCCCGATCCAACCAACTTTGTACAATTATTAGTGGCATTGTATGTTTGGACTTTGGACATCACGAACTAGTTTCTTCAATTTCATTTTTTTTCCTCCTAGACATTTTCGTTTTCACCAAAGCAAGAGTTTCGTGGTTTTCCGTTCGGTTTTTTACAGTTCTTTTCCATTAGACGGCCAAGAAAGAGGGATAGCAACAATGCACATATGCAGTGTAGTGGAATTCAAACTACACGATAGATATACAACCAAGTCTTGTAGGGAGTGGAAAGCAAGATGTCTGTATCACAGTAAAATAAATTCACATCTAAATATTTTTTAATTTTGAAAAAAAGGAAGAAAGACAAATATTGTTTGTATTAGAACTAAACTGGGTTATGGCAAATTACCTCAATATTTGTCCACCGTGTTGCTCC